TTTTTTATTGAAACTGGATCAAATGCTATTTTTCTATCTATATGGATTTCAGCTTTTAACATTTTAGTGGGGATGGAGATTTTCTGCCCGCTCACTACCATGTGCTCGGAGAACCTGACCGTAAAATACAGCTCTCTGTCTTTTTTTCAAAGCTGTATGCAGTTGTGACATTCCCAGGTGCGGTAGTACACTGTAGTCTTGTGTCGTAGAATTGATTGCATGCCTTGTGTGATGGTGGAATGAATCGCTGCCGTTTTATTGTATCCAGTGCTGTTAACCGTGTTGCATGACTACTAGATCTGTGTGTAAGGTCGGCTACACACCGTGAGATTTTGTTAGTTTGGCTCCCTCCTTTTAAAATTAAGGTGTCATTTGACTTCAAGTGATGTAAGCCATCTTAGAACTTCAGGGAATTGATTTATAGCTGACAAGTCTACCAGTAGACCCACATTTTGTTGCTGGGCAATGGGTAGATGCCCCATTTTTCCCCCCTTATTGAAGTGGCTTTGTTTGGGATAATAGGGGGGTACCGGTGGCTTCTCTTTAAGTCCCTTGTAGCTTCCCGTCTATAGTAACGTTGGTTGCCGTTCTATAACCATAACCCACTTAATGAAATTGTGTCCTAATGCTCCGCATCTTGTTCTGGCCAGGCTGAAGAAGAGCTGCTGAAGTCTCAGAAAGTCTTTGAGGAGATGAATATTGACCTGCAGGAGGAGCTTCCTTCATTATGGAATAGGTACGTGAAGGAGGTTTGTCAAACCAAGGCAATGAAGACACAATGGCATCAGCTCACTGAGCTCTATGAGTTGTATTAAAATGTATCTAAACTAAACTAGGGTTGCACAGATACCAAGTACAGTACTCGGTACAAGTACGAGTACATGTACCGATACTTTTGAGCTCCAAGACTAGACTAGAGAAAAATTCAAAAATTAGGAAGCCGCTGTCATGTGTAAGGAACACGCGGAGCTCCGGGGATTTGTACATCTGTTTTAATGTATGATTTTGTTTTTATAAATATAAATAAAGGGATGCACCAATACCAGTTTTGCGAGTACGAGTACTGCTACTTGCCGAGTACTTACAAGTACGAGTACTGATACATTTCTGTTTATTGTCATGTGACAGTTTTTCTAAAACAATACAGACTAATGATTTCAGGACAGTGGTGGAGTGCCAGAGCACGGTCCCAGCTGCAAACGTTGCAACCCTGGTAGTTCTCATGAAAATGCAGAGTATCGGCACTGGTACTCGAAAAGTATCTGTGCATCCCTAATCTAAACCCAGAAATGTAACAAATTGCAGCTTAGCAGTCATTAGATGTGGCGGCTGCATTCATTTTTCAGACATTTTTCCTTCATTCTGTCCTGTTGGTCCTGCCAGTAACACTTTCCTGTCCTAGAATCACAATGCTCACTGACCATACTGGGTCTATAAATGAGTAGCGTTGTCACCCTAGGACAAGTACTACAGAACACCTTTGGTATAGAGATAGATGGAAAAATTATAACTGATGACCGTGTAACAGAAATCTGGAACAAGTAGAAATGAGATCATGGATTCCAATCATGAGTAGATCAATCATCTCTGAATTGGTGCTGATACTGTCCTTCCTTCTGGAGGGGGGCTACTTTTGTTCCCCATGGTCCCTGTGTGTGTTGTAAAGTAGTCGCCACTCCAAGCTCACTCTCGGGATGGACTACAATCTCATGTTTAGTAATTTGCATTGAGATTGTAGTCCATCACAGAAGTGAGCTTGGAGCGGTGACTACTTTACAATTTTGGAGGATCTACAGCCGAGTGATACACAAATAAGATACATTGTTGTTATTTAGTTAAGGTCTTTGAATGTATTTTAAGATTTAACTCCTGAGTTTAGTGTAGCTTTAACTGCTGCAAAGGAAGCAAATAGGAGAAGTTGATTGGAGGGGTTTCCAGACACTGTAACGGGTCATTTTATATGAACGCCGGTGGAGAAGTGATAACAGGTGATGGGCGGATGACGACAGTTCTAACATTCTGATCCTGAACAGCTGTAACCGTTGAAGTTGGGCCATTTGGGGGGAAATAACAGATTGTGTTTTATGTTTGTTTGGCAGCCGTGTTGGTTTCTATGTCAACACATTCCAGAGTATCGCGGGCCTGGAGGAAACTTTCCACAAAGAAATGAGCAAGGTGAGGGGGCGCGCGCGAGCGGATGTGGGGGGGGGGAGGGATATCTTGGTGGTTTGTAAAATAAAAATATTCACACCTTCCTGATTAAAAAAAAAATGGAGTGTTGCCATTGCCAGTGGCTTGCAGACCCAAAAAAGGACCATTTATGTGCTCCAATGTTCCCTTTGAAATGTGTGTGACACCGGTCCAGGTAAATGGAAATACACACTGAGTGGCCAGATTATTATGAATACCTGACGTTTGTAGGCAAACTAGCTATAAATAGGGAAGCAGGTTGGTTACCACAACAGTAGAAGTGATTTGTTTCTGAAGATACGGGGAAACAACGCGATTTAACAGCCTTTGAACGTGGGATGATTGTTGGCGCTCGGAGCCATGGAGCGAGTATCAGCAAAACAGCAGAATTCGTTACATGTTCAAGAGCAGCTGTTGTTAAAGTGTTTAAAGACCGGACTGTCAGCCGAAAATCTGGGTCTGAACGTGCGAATTGTGGCCGTCAGCGACTAGTCAATGTTAGGGCAGAACGGAGAGTGGCAAGACTGGTACAAGACAACAGAAGGGCAACAGTGCAGTGTCAGATTCCTCGCATCACCTTTCATCATCTTGTGGAGTCACGAGGCGGCCCAACGAAGTACTGATGGGGGGGGTCATAATAATCTGTCCACTCAGTGTATTGGAAAGGATACTGGAGTCCTGCCGTTCAAAAGCTGACCTCCGGCCTTCCACTCAGTCTTGCACAGTTGTACCGCCTCCTCTCTTGGCTGAAGGCTCTTGAAGGGAGTTTTGAGGATTGTGTTCACTGTTACTCAGTAACAGCAGTATTAATGTAAAAATATTTTTTTTTTTTTTCTTTTATTTTTTGAAAAAATTGTGTTCTAGGTCTCTGGAATCTTGCCTCTTGTGTGACAGATTGATGAGAACACTTGTCATACTATAGTTATTTTTTTACATCATCGTTTTGGCCTCCACAGGCAGTTTTAACAGCAGATCAAGCAAGCTTGGCTGAGTTCCTCATAAGTCATGTAGATTACCTTAGAGACCGAGGCATACGTATTCTATTTAGTTTGTATGTAGCTGGCCATTGTATCTCACTATTATCCTCCAAACTTTTTGATTACAGCTGCATCAAAACCTCCATGAAGTAATGACAACCCTTGAGGGCGATCAGGGGAAGCCATCAACCAACGCCTTTACTGTGAAAGCCCAGCCGAGGTGAGTGTGCACGGTCTTAAGACAAGTCCATCTAAAGTTGGCATTTAAAAGATAACTATCGGGTAACCTTTTTATCCCATAGTTCTCTTCAGGGTCACGGGAGGACATATACTAACCTCCTCCCGTGACCCAAAACATTAGAACTGAAGTAGCAGCTTGGACAAGCATCAACAATACAGAACAAGTTTATTTAAATGTGACTGACTGCCGTTAGCTGTGGCATGAAGTGTTATATTTGTGGGATGTTTTGCTGGGTGATTTGTAGGAACTTTTCTGGAAAATTGTAGAAACCATGCTGCACAAATGCCAGTTGGCTGATGGTAAAGTGAGTAAATATTGCACTTTTGAAGGAAGCGCCTACAATAGCAGATCATTGTTCTGTTTGGGGAAACTGTAAAAAAAACAAACGCTTTGATAATATACTAGGAAGTAAAACCAACATTTTAAAATCACCAGGACACAAAGGGAATTTTGTATCGGTCATCCACGGTGTCCAGATATGGAGTGCTGTCCAATGTTCCAGAATCCATCCAGTTTCTCTGCAGTCCTCCCAGCTGTACAGAGGATTTCAGAAGAGATGATTTAGATGGTGAAGGAACACAGTCATAGAGCAGCACCTATAACTTCTGGAGATGAGAAAGTGGTAGGGAGTTCTTTAGCGGCACAGGACATTTCAGCAAAGGAGCATTAGACAATGAATGGAGTCCTCCAGAGTATTTCAGAAGAAGAGGGTTAGATAGAGGAAGGAGCAGAGTCCTCCAGCAATGCAAAGCATTTCAGGAGAGGAGAGTAAGAGGAAGGAGAAGAGTCCTTCAGTAGCACAGAGTATTTCAGAAGAGGTGTTTTTGGATGGTGAAGGAAAACCATAATCCTGCAGCCCATAAAACCTTTAGAGATGAAAGAAAGTGGTAGAAGGTTTTTCAGCAGCAGCAAAGAACATTTTAGCAAAGCAGCAATAGATAGTGAAGGGAGTCCTCCAGCATTGCAGAGTATTTTAGAAGAGGGTTAGATAAAGCAGAGTCCTCCAGAATATCTCGAGGAGAGTCAAAGGAAGGGGCAGAGTCCTCCAGCATTGCATAGTTTTTCGAGATATGAGAGTTAGAGGAAGGAGCTGAATCTTCCAGCAGAGCAGAGTATTTCAGAAGAGGTGATTCAGATGGTGAAGGAAGTCATTTTGCAGCACATATAATTTCTGGAGATGATGGATAGAGATTGAGAGTTCTTTAGCAGCACAGAACATTTCAGCAAAGGAGCATTCGATAGTGAAAGGAGTCCTCCAGCATTGCGGAGTATTTCAGAAGAAGAGGGTTAGATAGAGGAAGGAGCAGAGTCCTCCAGCAGCGCAGAGCATCTCAAGAGAAGAGAGTTGGGGAAAGGAGCAAAGTCCTCCAGCGCTGCAGAGTATAGAGAGGAGAGTTAGAGGAAGAAGAATCCATCAGTAGCACAGAGTATTTCAGGACAGAAGAGTTAGAAGGATTTCTCCAGCAGTGCAGAGTATTTCAGGGGTGGGGAGGAGAGTTAGATGAAGAGTCCTCCAATAGCACATAGTATTTCAGAGAAGATTTAAGCTGGGTACACCCAATTATTATTTTTTCCTTCAAACTGTGAGCTGATGGGGGGGGAAGTGAACAGATTCCTTAATTCGTGCTAAATAGTGTGGATAGAGAAATGTTCCCCAGGTGTGCTTTGTATTTAGGCAGTGGCAGGGGTGCCTCTGTCAAAATACCTGAACAGTGATGGCAGCTGATTTGGATGCAGTTCATCTGAAGATTTTCCATCCGGCTCCTTTAATCTTCTGATGGAAGGATGTTGCGTGTAAGGGTGGCAACAGGGCTATCCACTGTGCCAATTTTAGCCAGTTCATACACTGTAAAATCGGCACAGTATATAGCCGGCTTTAGATAGAGGAAAGAGCAGAGTCCCCCAGCATAGATTCTGCTGGCACCACATATTCTTTACAGACTCTGAAGGGATAACTGAGGCAATGGCCGTAGTCAGCAAGCACGACCGTTCGTGCCAATCTCCAGCTGCCAAATTCCCGTCAGGTCAGGCGTGGGCAGATATGCGACGGTCACAGACTCTATGAATCATACTTTTCATGCTAATGCCGCTGCGGGTTATGTTCCATCTCTCCCCGGCCAATGTCACTGACAGCAGAGAGACTCCATACACTTCTAGAATGCTGTGCCGGCCTTCGGAGTGAAGAGCCGGCGGGAGGAATTTGATTCTGGGGATTAACACTTCTGGAAGAGGCAATCTTCCTCCATACATCTGGGAGCCGCATTCCCACACCCCGTACGTCTCTATAATGCCAGAATGTCTTCTTTCTTACACAAGTACATAGAGCTATTGCCAGAGAGCACTGAGGCCAAGATAACAAAATACAGAGATGATCTTAAAATTCTTATATGATGACACAAAATGCTAAAATAATAACAAACTTCAGACATCATATCTCAGAGCGCTCTGCAATAAATGATTGAACCCTAAAAGTATCGCTGGTGCAGATTATTACTGATATTAATATTGTTAAAGGTACAGATCACCCTATTAGAGTTGGGGATCATTGTTCACTATTGAGTAGAAAGGTTAATTGGATCTTTAGGTTGGAGTCCAGAATTCCCAAAGGGTTGAACTTTGAATGGGATGTTACCAATTATTATTAATACGTCCTGAATTTGAGAAATCCGTATCAGTTGCCGTTCTCCCCTCTTTTTTTTTCTTCCCCCTTCTCTTTTTTACTTTTTCCCCTTCTCTTTTTTACTTTTTCCCCTTTCTCTCTTTCCACCCCTCTTTTTTACCTTTCCTTTCACCTTTTCTTTTTTTCTTCCCCTTTTTCTATATCTTTTTTATCGTCCCCCTGCTCTTTTTCCTTTTTTCCCTGTCCCTTCCTCTTTACTCACCCCCCCCCCCCCTCTTTTTCTTTCCTTTCCTTTTTCCCCTTTCTTTCCTCTCCCTGCTCTTTTTTATTTTTCTTCCCCTTCTCGTTTCCTTTTTTTTCCCCTTTTTTTTTCCTTTTCTCTTTTTCCACCCCACCTTTTTAGACTTATCTTCCCTTTTTCTCTTTTTTTTTTTCTCTCCCTTCTCTTTTTTTAACCTTCTTTCTTTTCTTTTCTTTTCTTCTTTCACCCCGTGCCCAAGGTCCACCTCACTGACACGTTTTACCTAATCAGGCTGAGTCCTAGAGATCTCTACCCTATCTTGGGTGGGACACCAGTGATGTGTCACAAGATCCAATAAGCTATCTCAGTGGAATTCAGTGTGTGGTCGGCTTTTTCCTGGTCGGCCTCAATAGCGATGTTGTACTGATATATATTTACTCCATTTTCAATGAGCAAAACTCATTTCAGAGCTCCTACTTCCTCCCAGCAGATAATTTTTTTTATTTGTGTCTTATCAATTTGTGTGCCCTTTATTGACCTCCATTGTTCCCCCGACACCTCCGACAGAAAGAAAACCAATCTCTTCTCCCGACTGAGGCTAAAGAAGAGCAGGTAGTGGTGGAGACGCATCGTGCGCTAACCAGGGTTGCCAAGCGTGTGCCATTATGAGATCAACACGCATGCTCCTGTTCTGTGTGAATAAAAACTAATACCGGCTAATAGTTTGTGTTTCTGTCCTCAGTCTGTGACATTTTGTATGTGGTCTGCCGAGAGCCGATCCCGCCAAGTGTGTTCTTCCGAATGTTTGGAATTAACCCTTTCTTTACTTTGCATGCCAGTGTGAGAATGACAATGTAGCCATGCAAGAGGAGAATTTCAAGCAGAACTCCGGCCTTCCCTTCAGCCTTATATCTGACCTCCGGCCGTCCCTTAAGTCTTGCACTGTTGTACCGTCTCCTCTCCTGGACTGAAATGGCTTGGTTCAGTAGAAGTGGAGTCATAGTGGAGTAGAGGGCTGTAGTAGAGAATTCAATTTCAAATGAAGATGAAATAAGGCTCCAGGCTCCTCCAGATCCACCGCACTGAGCTTCATATCTTTGTAGCTGCTGCCTTTGTACAAATCCCTGATCACAATCCGATTTCATTCTGGGTAACATTTCATATTTGGTTACAATGTATCCATGTGATATACGAATGTATATGTATATTGTCATGTTTGCATTAACTGTTGTATATGAAAGACAAAGATGCATTCTGACTTTTTCCTCTAGGGTCAAGGCCATGTGGGATGTGCGGGAAAAGTTTAATAAAAAGGAGGAGCTGTATATGCCCCGCCCTTTAGAGCTGTATATGCCCTGCCCCTTGTTACAGCAGTATCTGCCCCGGCCCTGTTTATTAGCCTGTCATGGTTGCATAGGATAGAGGCACAGCACACCTCCCACTGTCTACCAGTGATCCCAACTATGGATGGAACAATGAGAAATGTCATCACTGACCACCTTCTTAAAGGTGCAGGCTTCGGGGCTGTCATTTTTTTTTTTTTTATATTCTTTATTTATATAAGCATACCAACATAGTACAAAAGTGTGACACAGTAGGACCTCATGGCCCTGCATAATGAAACATATACAGAAATTCAGCTTATACATCACACAGCCGAGCCCGGCATGTCCATTCCCTTCTGCTCATACATAGTGCAATAAAACCATCAATCTGTACTAGAGGTCAGCATGCATTTCCACCTTACTTTTCTCAACAATTAACCAAGAAACCTAACTTGGACCCCAAGCCAGGAGGACCATCCCTCAACTCGAGCAGATAGCCTCCCAACTACTCGGGTTCCGCTGGAGGCGAATGGGGCTGTCATTATTTAATGAGTTGGTGACTTGGAGCAGCATTTTAAAAGTCCGATCTCCCGTTCTGCATGCTCATTGCAGGTCTCATTAGGTGGTAGACTAGGAAGCAGGATGGCAGCCCTGGAGTCTACATCTCCAATGTCTCTCCTTATATAGTCCCTTTTAAAGAGTTTAAAGAGACCCTGTCACCAACAAGCAATTGCAGGTAAAACCACAAACCTCCAGTATTTTAAATGCTTGCTTGCAGAGTTTTTCGTTCCAATGACTGAATTTTTTTTTAATGTTCTCGCAATGGGCATTGGTTAACTTGCTAATTGCATTTGGTCACATGATCTCTGCTGAAAGTAATGACCAGAGTTTGCATTGCCTGGTCCTTCCACCTTCAGATCACCTGATTAAATACCTAGTCCCATAACTAACATAGGAGGGATCTTGAAGTGCTGTTTCCTCCAGGAATGGGAAGTATGTTAGCTCTTCTATTACCATTTGTGTATCCATAATGGTAAAACTGGAAACCTAGGGGTCCATTTATAGAACGAATCTCTGAGCCATTTCAGGTAAATACCACATTATGGCCACTAGATGGAGCAGAGGATCATAGGGGAGGAGTATTTATTTCCGATGCTCCTCAGCTCCATCTAGTGGCCATATTGTGGTACCGTATTTACCTAAATTGCCTTCAGAAACTGAGATGAGCTTTTGAACAGGTTCCCTTTAGGGCACTACATGTATTTTAGAATTTCTTCTTTAAAATTCAGGTCAGATAAAGAAATATGCTACTTTTAAATCTGGAAAGAAAATTTTAGTAACATGCAAGTTTGCAGGATGAATGGCTCTGCCAATTAATAATATAACCCATTGCTTTGACGTTTGAGCATAGATCTGCTTAAGAGTCATAATCTGTATGTACTTGTAATGGTGCGCTCCCACTTTTTTTTTTCCGCCAGCGACCCCAGCCCTGCTAAAGTCAACAAGTCCACAGCCTCCCCTCCAGATGGTCCTCCAGCCGCCAGCGCAGAGGACAAGACCACCAACCATGATGTAGAGGAGTCGTTTGTGTCCCCAACTGCTGCTGCAACTTCTGTGTTCTTCCAAGACACCCCAACTGTGACCGTCTCCAAATCTCCCTCTCAGGTATCACTCAGTGTGAATTCCATTAAAACATCTTTTTCATGGTTTTTATGAAGTTTGTGTGAAAAGTGTTGTGTTCTCCTGGTGCTGAGAATGAATGAATTTAGGAAATGTTGATTTAGATATCTTCCTTTTGTTAAATTTTTTCCCCCATCTTTATAAATATCCATCTTGAGGTTCATGGGTCTTCATGCTTCATCTCGGTCTGTACTTTGGCTGGAGCTGTAGACCAGTCCTTTGGTGGGACCAAATCTTCTCCATTGGGGTCTTGTTGGCTTGGTGTCACTCTCTACAGTTCTTTCTGGTTGTAGACCTTCTGGATTTCACTTGATTATCTCAAATAATCAAGTTTTGAAGCTTTGACTTTATTACTAACCATTCTTTACCACTTTCTTAGGTCATTGGGTTGCTTACTGATTGCTCGCCATGTGCTTGCCTGTGTCATCTCACTTCTTGTGCATCAGCTATGACTGTGTTCCCGCTTGTATTCAAGTCTACGTTTGTGCTTCGAGAAACCTTTCCTCCATAAATTCTATTTCCTGCTACTTTTAATATTTTACGGAACGTCCTGATCGGTGCTTTTGACTGGTAGATGATTAGAAAACACTGTCCTGTGGTATACATTAAAGAGGTTCTCCAAGAAAGATTTACGGCAGGGGAAGGCAACCAACATCAGCACTGCATTAGAGAGGTTCTCCAAGAAAGTGTTACTGAAGGGATAGGCAACCTTTAATACTACCGTATTTGCCGGCGTATAAGACGACCCCCCACTTTTTGTGTAAAAATATAGGTTTTGGGCTATACTCGTCGTATAAGACGAGTATAGCCCAAAACAATGTTTAAATGCACTTACTAACCTCCATGGCGGTATTCCCGAGTGTGGCTCGGGGTTAATTTTCAGTACCATAAGTGTTAACCCCGAGCCACACTCGGGATTACAGTCTCTTACCTTGTCCAGGATCCCAGCAGCGTCCTCCATCTTCCGTCCTTCAGCTACTACTGCGCTGAGCCAATCACGGCAGGCTTTGTATTAAAGAATACAAAGCCTGTATTTACTGAATACAAAGCCTGCCGTGATTGGCTTAGCGCGGTATACTGTATGTAGCCGAAGCTACATACAGTATACCGAAGTATACCCGGCGTATAAGACCCCCGATTTTCGGGCGATTTTTATTTTTTTTTGGCTCTCAAACCCCGTCTTATACGCCGGCAAATACGGTACATTAAAGAGGTTCTCCAAGATTGGTTACGGTAGGGGTAGGCAACCTCAGCTCTACATTAGAGATTCTTCAAGAAAGAGTTACGACAGGCGAAGGCAACCAACCTCAGCACTACATTAAAGAGGTTCTCCAAGAAAGTGTTCCGGCAGGGATAGGTAACCTTGGCACCACATTAAACCTGTTCTCCAAGAAAGAGTTATGGCAGGGGTAGATAACCTCGGCACTGCATTAAAGAGGCTCTTTAAGAAAGCGTTACAGCAGGGGTAGGCAACCAACCTCAGCACTACATTAGAGAGGTTCTTCAAGAAAGCATTACAGCAGGGGTAGGCAACCTCGGCACCCCAGTTATTGTGGAACTACAGATCCTATGTGGCATTGCAGAACCTTAACAGCCACCGGCATGATCCTCAGAGGCAGAGACATGATTGGGATGTATAGTTTCACCACAACTGGAGGGTTGATGTTGTCTACTTCTGAGTTAAGGTTTCCACTTATTCCCAGAGGGATACACAGTGTTTGTATCACTCAATAACCTAAAACTGAGCAGCTCCAGGCAGATTTAGAAGAAACAATTTAATGCATTAATTAGTAATTGAAAGCAGTGTAGCTGCCTGGAACCTTGACTTGGAACCAGCCTCTTCCAATCCCCCTTACAGCAGAGTTTTTAGACCAGGAGAGGGAGAAGCAGCACGAGGAGCCAATTAGTTGTGCTAACAAGGAACGTATTGTTTGGAGTTGAGAGCGGAGTGAAATGAGCCTATGGTGATAGGGGGAGAGAGTACAGTGAGAATGAAATGCGCCAATGTGCGGACGAGGAACATGTTGATAGGCTGATTTCATTCTCGCTGTACACTCCCCTCCTATGTGCTAACAAGAAACGCGTTGATAGGAGGAGGGAACGTAGTAGGAGTGGAGACACGTCTAATCTTGTATTCAAGGTCAGATCTATCTGAAACTAATATTTCCATTTTTTGTGGTTGCTCGGTTACTTTAAATGGCCTCTTGCAGGATATCTCCTTGTTCTTTCCATTCCTTGTGACTTTTTCCTTCTGGATACTGGTAAGCCAAATTACATATCAGCTTCTTATAAATCTCAGGGACTCCATCCGCTGAATGGTCATTTCCATTACAGAGCCAATTGGCGTTGTGCCTCCCCTAACCCCCAATACCCTCCATCATACAGATCGCTGTGAAGGGGCCAGAGTCATATTCTACTGTAGTCACCTAGATTTATAGTAATCTGGCTGGTAATTCAGCTCATCCACATGCTGCTGCATTGCACGCCTAATTTAAGATGTAAACTTCTTCTTTTTTTTTTTTTTTAGCAAGTTGTTTTTTGTATATCTGCTTCTCCAGCAAGTTTAAACCCAACTCTAAAATATCAGAAAAGTATTTTTTCTTCACTTGTCTCATTTTCATTTTTTTTCACTCTGATATTCTAATAGTGTGTTTGTGGCCCTGTGCGTTTCAGTACAACAGCACCACCTGCTGGTAATAGGGTGGCATTGCCGCCATTGTTTGCTTTTTCTTTATTTTTTTTCAATTTTTGTAACTAATTTTATGTCAAATATAGCAGCACGATGTACACAGGGCAAAACTGTGCGGCTGTATATAAAGATGGACGGTTTGCAGTATTTTATGTTGATGCTGTGTTTAAAGTGAACCTGTACTCCTATTTTATCATTTTATTTGTCCCGCTAAGAGGAGACACCACAAGATGGTCATCGTTCTCTTTAAAGCTTCTTCTGTGTGACGCTCTGATTTAGTTTCGGTTGACTTTATTACCGGTCCACTGGCCAGGTAGCGGCACTCCCACTGAAATGCCAGGCTGCAAGGTCAGAGGGGGGCACAAAATGAGCTTTTCTGTGAAAAGGGGGAAAAAGAAATAGTGAGCATTTTGGGGTGTCGTCTCTTTGATCTTTTATTTTATACATTTATATTCTATCCTTCTTCTTTTTTTTTTTTCTTTCTTTCTTGTTTTCTTTTTTCTCCTCCTTTCTTTTCCTTCTCTCGATTTCTCTCCTCTCGCTCTCCTTCCTTCTCTCGCTCTCCTTCCTTCTCTCGCTTTCCTTCCTTCTCTCGCTCTCCTTCCTTCTCTCGCTCTCCTTCCTTCTCTCGCTCTCCTTCCTTCTCTCGCTTTCCTTCCTTCTCTCGCTTTCCTTCCCGCTCTTGCTCTGGCTTTCCTTCCCGCTCTTGCTCTGGCTTTCCTTCCCGCTCTCGCTCTGGCTTTCCTTCCCACCCTCGCTCTGGCTTTCCTTCCCGCTCTCGCTCTGGTTTTCCTACCCGCTCGGACATTAAAAGTTTAAAATAGCTACAAGTTTGCTTTAAATTACCTGTTATTTGTAACGTTATCCTGACAAGTGAAACCTTGAAGTATCTAATGATCTATAAATCTGGATGTTACATGAATTTCCTGTGTGTTGTACTTCTGGCTGTGTATTGATCCTCAATGTTTATAAGTTTTTGATCCTTTGTGTTCCTGTGCTTCTCACCCTTTTATTATGCTGTGTGCGTATTAATACACATTTTGTGTAAAGTTCATCCATCGCGGTGGTGAAATATTGCCAACATCCGCCATGGCATGGACCTGTGAAGTTCCCTTTTGTGTGTTTTGCTAATTTTTGTATGTTTTTGTTTTTTTTCTTTTTGGGTGGGGGGGGTTCGTGTGGATTGTCTTTGCTGGTATTTATTTCTTGCATGTAGCTGAGGAAAGGCCCGCCGGTCCCGCCGCCACCAAAACACACGCCTTCCAGGGACATCAAGCAGGAAAATATCATCGGTCTGTTTGATGACAGTTTTGTGCCCGAAATAAGTGTGACCACTCCCTCACAGGTTAGCGGCTGCTGCCCACCTGCCCGCAATGCACTAACACATGCATGCCTTGC